TTTTTTTTTTTTTCATTTTGATATTTATTTGAATTTAAAGTTCGAACCTTGACGGATAGTTTGTTTGCTTCGATTACAATCTTGATTTTATCTACTAAAAACGCAATAATTTTCTGAAAATCTCCTATTTTCGATCGATATATTTTGTGGGTTTGTTTCATAATTCAGTTTGATGCTCTAATTTTTGCCAGTCGCTTTAAAAAAACTGATGAACTTTGGGCAGGTTTTGGTGGAAGAAAAATCATCTGTGAGGATTTTCACGCTTAACAGGCCAAAGCAGCTCAATGCTCTTTCATCTGCAATGGTATGTCCGGCGTTAATCGTTAGCTGCGCTGTAAGAATTTTTAGAAGAGTTGAATCATGTACTGATATTGTTTTCTTCATCATAATCTAGGTGTCTCGTTTGTTGGAGCTTTTGCTTGCTTGTGCAGATGATCCTTCAATCAAATTAATAATTTTAAAGGTATATGTATGTTGTTGTTGTTGTAATTATTATTTAAATTACCAACTGGGTCCTGTCTCTTAATCAAGTGATGAACACTGGTGTTGTCAATTTCGGTTTACTTTAGTTACGTATGTTCGTGCTGCCGCTAATAACAGGGGAAAGGAAGAGCATTTTGTGCTGGAGGTGATGTTGCTGCAGTTGTTCATGATATTAAACAAGGTAGACTGTTGCTGATAAGTTCTTTAATTTGATTGCTATTGTGAATTAATACCCATGTATTGTATACAATCGTCTGTACATATAATAAGTTGATGTGTTGAGAGATCTGGGTACTTATGTTGGCTGTCAAGTGTCAAATTAGAATATTAAGGATTTGAAAAAAAAATAGTAATAATATATTTTTGAGTTTTTTAAGGCTTGTATGTGTATTATTTTATGAATGTAAAATCGAGGCTCTTGCCTTTTGCAGTAGAGAATGACCCAATGAACCGTTTTTCTGTGAGTGTCATCAGGTAATTGGAAGTCAGGTGTGAGTTATTTCAGAGAGGAGTTCACGATGAACTATGTGATAGCTACTTACAGTAAACCCCAGGTGCTAATATGTGAAAATATATTCAAAATATATTCAAGTTTGTTTAAAGCCTTGTGGTTCCTTACCGAGTCTTATTGTTCTTATGCAAATTTGTGATCACAGGTTTCAATTCTGAATGGAATTGTGATGGGAGGAGGAGCTGGTGTTTCTATACATGGTAGATTTCGAATTGCTACGGAAAATTCGGTATTTATCTTTTTCTCTATTGAAAGACTACATTCATTGTGATGTAAGAAAATATATAAGGAAAAGTCCACTTAACGTGTAGCTTGTATTGTATACTCACTGAGATATTAGAACCACTTAAATGTATTCCTTGTGTGTGTTTCTGCCCTTTCAGTGATAAAATATTATTTTAGTTGTATTTTAATATCAGTGGCTTCTATCTCGCATTATGATTTTTTATTTTCATGGATTAATGATTTTACGTAGTTGATCAGCAATTACTTTGTTTTCGTTCCGATCCTAATAGTAATATGTTTGCAGCTTTTTGCTATGCCTGAAACAGCTCTGGGGCTTTTCCCAGATATAGGTGCTTCGTATTTTTTATCAAGACTTCCTGGTTTTTTTGGTAATTCCTTTTATCCCATTGTGTTTTTTTCCAAGTGCCGTGTTATGAGATTGTCACGCAGCACATTTCTGATTCATTTTCCATATAATTTAGTTTTCATTAGCTTACGTCATGTTCCATAAGCAAAATAAATTATTTTCGATATTGCCATATGAATTTTGTGGCAGGAGAATACGTTGGTCTGACTGGTGCACGGTTAGATGGTGCCGAGATGCTTGCATGCGGTCTAGCAACTCACTTTGTTCCATCAGAGGTTTTTATACAGCAAAATGCACGCCAATTTTTTTATTATTATATATAAAAAGATGGAAAATGAATTAACAAAGTTAATAAATTTAAAGAATAATAAGGAAGCACTCATATAATAATTAATATATATAATATATAAGAAAGGAAATAAATAAAACAAAATATATTTTAATTATAACTGATTTAAAAATGGAAAATAGGATATTAATTATAGAAGTTATCAAATCTACCGGCCGTTGATGTGGAAACCGACCGAAGCTAACTACGTGCCACTCTTAAGTTCATTACCTTCATGATGCTTCTTTTTCGTACAGAGACTGGCTTCTTTAGAAGATGCACTTGTGAAAGCAAATTCCAGTGATCCAGCTGTTATTTCTTCTATTATTGGTGAATTCTCTCAAATACGGAATTTGAAGCGGAATAGTGTTTACCACAGGCAAGATTAATCAAGACTCGAGCACATTTGAGGTTTTGTTTGTGTACTATATATATATATATATATATATATATATATATATATATTTTGTTGCATTGACTGAGAATAGAGATGTTAAACAACTGTGTATGTCATTTTAATCTATAGTCTGCTTCTTTTTTTTTTTTCCCTCTTTTGTCCATTTATAGTTTCACATCCTCATTTCTTGCTACTATACCTGCAGATTGAAAACAATTGATAAATGTTTCGCGAGAAGAACAATTGAAGAGATCATTGTAGCCCTTGTAAGGATGATCAATTTTATTATTTTTTTTTTTTTCGTACATAATTCTGCATGCCCAGGCAAATTTTAACTGTTTTAGAGTCACTAGTTTATTTCTTATTCGGTTTTATTTCGTTGAAATTATTTTCCGGTAGGAAAGTGAGGCTGCAGAAAAGAATGACGATTGGATCTCGTCTACAATTAACTCATTGAAGAAAGCATCCCCTATGAGCCTTAAAATCTCTCTTAGATCGGTATAGATCAAATAGACACTCTTAACTCTCTTAGCTCTATTATTCACATCTCTGTTCAAAAGTTTCAATTTTTTTTTTTTTTTTT